CTCTCTCTCTCTCTCTCTCTCTCTCTCTCTCTCTCTCTCTCTCTCTCTCTCTCTCTCTCTCTCTCTCTCTCTCTCTCTCTATTTCACACACACACATTTTGCAATGTGCATGTCACCTCAGCAAGTATGGCATTAATAGATAAGATTGTGTCACCTTTGACAACACTAGGTGGCTACAAGCTCAAGGAGCATGGTTTCAAGGACTAGAAATAGAAAAGTAATACCAAACTTCAACTTCGTGATAGTAATTGCTTCCTGTTCAGTCAACTCACTTAATAAGAATTTTCTTTTCTCAATTGTAATATTTAGAGAAAGTTGCTCTTTTAGTGCATGTTTACAAACTTCTAGTCACGAGAGACAATGCCATGGAATAAGTCACACAAAACATTTTCCACATGGAAGATTTGGGTCAGAGGAGGCGTTTTAGGCATTTAGATGGTTCGCTATAACAAGGAAACTTATTCATGAGTACTAAAGACACTATTTAGAGGACTCATTACATAGATAACCTCAAATTGAATGCAAAGCTCTACACAAATGAAGGGATCATAGGAAGATTCCATTAGGAATTGACAGCTAGGAGGGACCATCATTTATGTGACTTCCGCTTGAGCAAGAATAGCTCATGCAATTCATAATATAGTTCTTATGGGGTGAATTCCGCTTTGGAACCCCAACCCCGCTCTCCTGAGAAGGGATCTCGCTCCTCTGCAATTCTTAAATTTTGGAATCTCGATCCTTCCTACTAGGGACCGAGGCTCTAAGTTACATTGGATCTAAATACCCTAGCATTATATTACGGCATAGCAATATAAGATAGCATGGCGATGGAGTATAGCATTGTGGGATAGAAAACCAATACAGTATAGTCTACCAGTGTGGTAGTAGTATATACCATATAGTGTAGTGTACATTATATAGTTGTATAGAGTAGATTTGAATGTAGTAGCTTTTAGCACAATATTATATAGTACAATACAATAAAATATAGTATATAGCAAAATGTTGTAGGATAGCATAGAAATATAATATCACAAAGTAGTGTGGCATATTAGAATAGTATATACTAGATTACTATACTAGTAAAGTGCGACAAGGGACCTCAATTTTTAACCAAATGATCTTGGTCCTATACAATTTCTAATTCGATCTCATTTAAGTTTGGATCGAGCTACCCCACTTATTGGGATGGAGATCCCTAGATTTCAGGGTGTACATACCACATTTGTTACCATAGGGAGCTTTCTGCTCATCATGATCCACATCCAAACCCAATTCCCACATTTGATTCGATCTGGATTCTGATAACTATGATTCATACTGTCAACAACAACATGTGGAATCCTCAAATTACATCAATCATCGACAACTTCATACTTCATCAGGACAATGTCCATTGTTCTCATCCTCTAAGTCTCGAGCTCATTAAATATGTAGATGTTTTATTGAATGTACAAGTGAATATTGTCTGCTTCAAGGTTCCTAACCAATCCTCTAAATGTGACTTCTAATTGATTTCCTAAAATAAGAAATAGTATGTAATTTCTTATGCAGTTGAAGTTAAAGAGAGCCTTATTTAATATTTATAACAAGAACATTTGGCTGTCAATTCTCAAAAAAAACAAAAAAAAAAAAGAAAAGACATTTGGTTTTAACATGAGAAAATGAAACTAACATGACATATTGTACTTTTGTGTATGTAAATAATATCAATATTATTTGGATTGCAGTGAATCTAACTTATTGTGATTGACGTTGAGTCAATCCCTCAATATCTCAGCAAATTCTATCCTACAAAGTATATCATCAAGAAATGCCAATTTGCATAACCATATGCCCTTTTCATGTCCAACTTATACACAACTTCTAACTTTGCTTTTCTAGAAGCAAAACTCCGTAAGTTTCCATCTAAAATATTCTTTTCTTTTTGAAAATGCATGCCATCCAAAATCTGGCAAAAGCTAATATGAACAATCCCCAGACTTGAGGAGAAGGTGTGAAATCCTAAAAGAGCTCCTAAAGGTCAATCATGGTGCTCTCCCAAAAAAAAAAGCAAAAAAGAAAAAACCCCTAAAACTAGTTATGCCAAGGGCCTCATCTTTGGAATACCAAATTCCACTCCAATGACTTCACAATTTTGGAAAGGGTTTTCTAGATATACTGCTCTCCCATCACCATCCATCCAAACTTGGAAGGGAACAATACATGTGTCCAACCTAACCAAATGCACCCAATCATTTTCAATTGGAACTCAATTTTAAACTGAAGAGTAAGGTATGTTTTGTATCAAAAGATTTAAGACATTAACTTGGCCCCATTAACCAAGCTAGGATGGGAGTTAGCAACTAGGAAAACATTCTTTGCCATTATCATCGATTAGGATAATGTCTTGTGAGACATCATTCGTGAGATTCGAAAATTACAAGGAAAGATCCATGGTCTTGGCATGACATTCATAGAACGCTATCCACCAGCGAACAGCATTCCCCATGGAGTAGTGCGCAACAATGAGGTAGAAAAAATAAAACCCTCTCAAGATGGACACCTTCCTCTCAAGAGTTTCAATAAAGTGATGAACGAGCATGAAAATAGAATTGAACTGTTAAAAGCCATATGAAAAAGTCCGATCCCCCACTTAGTTAGTATTACAAGAGAGGCCACTCCTTTGAGGTTCATCAATATAAAGCCTTATGTCTGAGATACCATTTACTCTTTCCATTTTTATAACTGATCTCATCTTGTCAGACTCCTTTCAGCATTTCCTATCTGTTGCAAGTTTTGAAGTCTCAAATAGAATGCCTGATAATTTTTTGAGAGAAAATAGAATGCCTCATAATTTATCTGACCAAAAAGTGAAATTTAAAAATAAAAAAAAATAAAAAAATTATGAATTCAACAACTTGCCGCTCTAGAATGCGAAGCTCAATCCTTCTTACCATTTCAAACCAAACACCCCATAACAGAACAAGCCTCCAACAAATAGCAGATAATTGGCGCAATTTATAGAAAGCAGAGAGAGCACGCAGAAGTAGCTACCTTGCGGGGTTTGGGTATCAACTTCTCCATAGATGGTTTTGAGTCTAGAAAGAGAAAGAGCCGGGTTATGAGAGGTTTGAGAGAAGAGGTGCTGCTTCCACTGCCACATGGTGTTCTTGAGGGCCTTGTTCTTATTCTGGAGCTCTTCCTTTTCCCATTCTAGGGTTTCAATTTCTCTCTGCTGACCCACAGATCTCGCGCACAGGGCTGCAAATGCCCCAAATAGAGCAATGTGTATGAGGTAATCCTCTTTCCCCACCAATAAACCCGACACCCACCTCTTCATCTCTCTCTCACAACGACGTACTCCTCTTTCCCCTCCAATAAAACCCATAAGCACCTCTCCTCTCTGTATTGCCCCCCAACCGAACAATCCGGGTCGTACTGTTTGACCCAGCGGGTTGGGCCTGGTCCAAACAACTGGAGCTTGACCCAGCTTGGGTCTAGGTCTGGGTCTGGGTCTGGGTCTGGGATCTGGCTTGGACCCCGTCAATTCAGGTAACAGGGTCGAGTCCACCGGTACATATGAATATAACATGGGTGCGGTTTGTATAGAGCCGAGGCTCTAAACAATCAATTAGAGCCATCAAATAGTGTCGAAAAATATGGTTTTAATATTAAAATTTTTTATAATAGCTTTGAAATATTCTTTTATTTTTTATTATAAAATTTAAAACTTAAAAAATAATGTAAATTAAACATATCTATGAAAATTTTGAATATTAACGGTCAAAATATGCCCTATAAGATGCACTACTTCTGAAACTTGAAATCCATTTTTTTCTCATACTCATGCATCTTGATGTCGAGATTAGTGTTCGTAAAATCGAACCAGAACGGTTAATCGGACATGAGGCTGGGAGCGGATTGAACCGAAACCGGACTAACTGGGGCGGTTAACTGGACTAACTGGTCGAGTAGATTTTTTTTAAAAAAAAAAGGGTCCAAAACTTCCAAAAAAATTTAAAAAAAACAAAATATTTAGACTAAGTGTATAATATCTTATTACATATATTTATCTTACAAAAAAAAATTGAAACAACGTTTTATAAAATAATATTCAAATATTATGGTCCTATACATGAAAATAGCTTAAGATATTTTTTGAAGATATTTTTGTCATATAACATCTTCTTCCAAGAATTAGCATATTTATCCCAAACCTTATATGAAAAACTATCTAGTTTTTTTTTTATATACAAAAATCGCTGACATTAGGAATGAAAGTTAATGAACTTTTGTGCAAATAACAAAAGTAGCTTGATGCTTTTAAATAAAATAAAAATGCCAACTAATTAAGACAAGAAATAGAAAGGACATTTTCCATATAGTTAGATAAAGCATAATTCATACAAGGGTGCAGTTGGCATACAGATGCATCCCGTAGACTGTAG